GTAGTATACCTTCAAAAATATCTTTATTGCTTTCCACACCTGTCTTCTCTTGTCATGACCTTATTTTGCCACAAGATGGTATTTTCTTAAAGTGTATACCTGTTTACATTCCAAGATGCTCTTTTGCCATAGTCCCAATCCTCAAACCTTTGGAACTCAGCAAAGGATCCCTGGGGGCTTGTTGCACCAAATTCAAGTATTTACCGGCATGTTGTATCCAACAGAGTCCATTGGCTACAACTATAAATGGAAAATAATTGTGGTAGAAACAGTCCTTTATTGAATTATTAATTTATGTCCTTCTATTTCACATTTCTCTATCTACTCCTTTCTTCAGCAAACTAAAGTCCCCCTCACAGAAAAAAAAATCTCTTAAATCAGCATACAATCCATTTTAATAGTCAAGTACCTTTCGGTATAATTTTAGTCCACAAAGGAAATTGAGGTTGAGATTGTCTTACCAGTTGTTCTTGGAGTAAACCTTCCTGCGTCATCCGCCAATCCCCTTATTACTCAACGTGGCAAGATGTTACTTGGCAAAGTAATTTAAAGCCAGTACACAGATTTGTTTTGCTGCTTGTTGTTTACCATTTTAAATGGGTTGTCCTGGCATGGCTACTCCTGAGGAATCAGAAATGGAGTCCCTATATGGTTCCTTCTACCCATCTTGAATGTCACTCCATGCTGGTACCACTCACAATAGGGAGAGGCTCTCTTTCTGACTTGGGCTCTCTACGCAGCCCCGGTACCCACTGGGGAGATTGGGGACATGGTGCTGTCACAGCCCCCTTTAAATTCCTCATGGAGTTGCCCTTTAAAAAATGTGCTTAAAAAAGGACAGCAAATTCTAAATCACATAGTCTACAGCAGACACCCCCAAACTTGGCCCTCCAGACGTTTTGGGACTACAACTCCCATCATCCCTAGCTAACAGGACCAGTGGTCAGGGATGATGGGAATTGTAGTCCCAAAACATCTGGAGGGCCGAGTTTGGGGATGCCTGGTCTACAGGAAAACACAAACAGTATCTATAACTGCATTTTGTTTTCCCTAAATGTAAACTTGAGTCAAGTAGGATTAAAAGTGTGTTTCATGGGGGCCAGGAGATTGAGTCAGTGGGGAAAAATTCATGAAAGCTGGAAGGGAGAATTTCCTCTCACACTTTGAATTATTGGGGGAAATGCTCTGCTTGGTCTAGCCAAGTGGATACTCATGTTGTGTAGAATTTGCAATTCTTCAAAACTTTATAACTTTGTCCCTCTAGGTCTCATTTAATTTGAATCTAGAAAGGAACAAGAGTGAATTAAAGCACACACACACAACGATCATATGAATGCCAACCCCAAAGTAGGATCAAGTGGATTAGGGTGTTGGGATACTGCCAGGGAGACAAAGGCCATCATGCCTCCACGTCATTTCCAGACGATCCATCAACCTCCTGTAGAAACGCAGTATCAGTCAATTAGCGACACAAGCCTCAGAAACATCTGCCCACATTCCAAGGACTTGTGCACGCCCTTTGCAGAGTTCGCACAAAGAAAGATGCACTCAGGAGAGCATTATTTTACAACTTTATTCAGCATTGGTCAGAACAAAGAAAACATGACTGCTGCCTGCGTGTCGAGACACACAGAGAGACAACAGCTATATACAAAAACAGAAACTTCCTGTGAGCAGGAAATACGTAGGCTGTGACTCACAACAGCCTGTCCCCTTTTTAAGGTGGAACGGAAATATCCTAACACAACGATCATATGAATGCCAACCCCAAAGTAGGATCAAGTGGATTAGGGTGGCTTATTACCAGGTAAATGTGTGTAGGAGTACCCCCACAATCAATCGATTACAAAATCCATGTAGGCCTCATAGTTCAGGTGCTTAACCTACATATTTCAGAGGTTGAATGTGTAATGGTGTCCAGGGTACTGCATGCCACCATAATTATTCACAAAACATATGCAGCTAAATTCCCTTCAACACTTCTGCAGCATCCAGCTGAAATTCAGACTCTGTTGGAGAGGAGCAGGTAAGCCAAAACCTTCAGTCTGCTTTCGGTGGTGTATGTTTTCCTGTTGCAGCAACTTTTAAAAAACTGTATTTAAGCATAGCTTGTATTTTGAGCAGAGCTCTCTATTAATGCCCCATACAAGTGAATCATAGTTAAACTTGCACTATTACCTAAATTGAACAATAAGAATATGAGATCAAGTTTATATCCTTCTAACCACTCCTTTCTTTGGCAACCCAACTTTATTGCGATTCCTCTACAATATAAATATAAATATGACTTAATCTAAAAATAAGTATCTAAGTGGGCTACATTTTTTTTAATAAAACAAGGAATTGCAATATGCATTTCAGTGCTTTGTACAGTCCTGCCTTATCACTAGGCAAATGCTCAGTGTATGATGATATTTTTTGAAACCTTTTCTGTTGCTCTGCATCTGCTCCAATAGTGTATGATGAAACAGATATTGTTCTCTGTAGCTGATTACAACCTAGGCCTTCTGCAGTGTCTATTTGAGACCTGGTCGCTACTGATGAACAGGAACAGGTAAGCAAAAATACTTTCTTCCATGTCTCTTTTAAATTTATATTTTGCTGACATAACTTTTGTCTTGCATTTTATTGGCTTGCAGTCTTAAGTTGTACATTTAACAGGGTTCTGCATTACAGTATTGAAGTAAAATCAGTAAAAAAGGAATAGACTTGCATCCCATTGTATATAATAGTAGGTTTTACACAATACCAATGCAAGTTTAAAGTGTATTTTACCATTTTAAAATAAATTGCAAACATGTTAGCCAGGCCCACACAGTTTAATTGATTGAGTCGTGGAGTGCTGCAGACCCCATTTCCCAGTATCCCAGCAGCAACAGACTCGTCTGTGACAATAGTCCAGGGAACAGGAATTCCCAGCATCTTCAGACTCCAATGAGAACTCTATTTTTGTTAAGTTGTGGGTGAACATATCAGACGACACAGTGATTCTTCAAACAGCTCTTGTTTATTCACAGGCCAGAACAGAACTGAACTGAAGGGTTCAGCCAGCCTGCTTATATAGAGCTCCACTACAACGCAACTGTAACACTTTCTGTAACTATCCAATCACTGAACGTCACTTTCAGTCCCTTATTTGCATATGTGGACCTGAGTGAAAACTATCTACAGTATCCCCTTGCTGGCCTAGGGTGAGAACTTCAGTACATAACAATTTCCCAGCATGCTATTTGGTATCGTTAATTCTTCATCTGATTGATTGTCTGCTTCCATGCCTGCTTATTCAAAGCAAGTCCCAACAAGTTCTGTGGGGCATATTTCCAATAAATCCCCATTATCTTTGGTTTAGGTGTCCAGTTGATACCATACAGCCCAAATTTTCATTTTCTTCATAGCCATCTCATTTTCCATCTGAGCTGGTTTGGTGTGACATTGCTTCATTTGCACAATTGCTGCTCTCCTTCAGTTGGGGACTCAGCCTTTCAGGTGAGGGGCTAGCCATTTCACTTTAATAGGTTTAAGTTCTGTGAGCCTTTGCCATAGTGCTTCCTCCCCCCGCCCAAAAAAAGGTGTCAGAACTCACCATGAAGTTGTGACAGTAAGTTCTTATCTGAGACGTGCTAGAACCACATTCCAGTGTGCTCCGACCAGAAAAGAGCACTGGTTGTAGTAAGCATTTTATTTGCATTTCATGGAGTCTTTCTGGAAGTGTTGTTCAGACTGTGTTGCTCCTTCAGCCTCCAGTACGTTGGGCAACTTTGTTCAAGTAATCCTTCCACCAAACAAAAGCTCAGCAAGAGATTCTCTATGTTCAGTGGGAGATGCCCTATAATTTACAGCCAGGTATGAGCCAGTACCTTAATCATGCTCTGAAGCAAGTTGGAGCTTGAAGTGATATGAAGAAATTCACATACAGTGGTAAAATTCTTACTCATGAGGCGCAAACTGGGGCCATTACCTGTCCGAACCACCTCAAGAATGCCATGTCCCACAGGTATGATGTTTACGGCATGTAATGCCTTAAGAGAGAATATTATGAAAATGATATACAGGTGGTACATGACACCAGTCAAGCTTGCAAAAATCTACCATTTGCCCGATAATAAATGCTGGAAATGTAAAGAAACTGAAGGTACATTCTTTCACTTTTGGTGGACGTGCCCAAAGATTAAGGCTTTCTGGGAGATGATATATAATGAAATGAAAAAGGTATTTAAATATACCTTCTTGAAGAAACCAGAGGCCTTTCCCCTGGGCATCGTCGGCCAATTGGTGCCAAAGAAGGATAGAACTTTCTTTATGTACGCCACAACAGCAGCAAGAATACTTATTGCAAAGTATTGGAAGACACAAGATCTACCAACCCTGGAAGAATGGCAGATGAAGGTGATGGACTACATGGGACTGGCAGAAATGACCGGCAGAATCCGAGACCAGGGAGAAGAGTCGGTGGAAGAAGACTGGAAGAAATTTAAAGACTACCTACAGAAATATTGTAAAATTAATGAATGTTAAAATGATGTTGGATGGAAAGTTACGTGGTTTTTAGCTATAACGCTATAAGGAACATGAAAAAATGGATTATTAACAGGCAAAAATTTAATGTTATAATATTTTAAGATTAAAGACTAGGATAAATAAAGAGGGAAAGGATTTGCTGAACTAACAAATTGAACGGGAATACAAAAAGGGAGGTGAGAGGAGGTCCGGGAAACAAGCAAATGAAAGATAAGTGATGGAAAGATGGAATTGTTTTTTTAACTATTTTTATTTTTATTTTGTATTTTTCTTTTTTTTTTTCATTTTGTAAAATTCTAATAAATATCTTTTTTTAAAAAAAAAGAATGCCATGTCCAGCAAAAATGGATACTATTTTCCCAGTGACCAGGAAGCTGCTTCCCTCAGAATCCAGCATGCTTACCCTTATTTCAGAGATAGTCATGACTTTTCCTCATGGGGCAGATCTTTTTTCAGTGTTTCCCCACAAACCATCCATCTCAGTGACTAATATTTCCAGAAGAGAGATATGTTATTTCTTCCCTGCACAGCACTGCTGGAACTGTAATCACGCTCCCTGCCCTCAACATGCCTAGAACCATTCTAAAAAGCACTTCCCATCTTTGCTAAGGAATTTGAAACAAAAGACATTGTTTTACACAGGCCAGCGATGTGGCTGTTTTTGGCAGTGGCGTGTTTAATCCAACAGACAACAGAGTCAGAAGAATTCCTAAGGAAACAGCACTTGAATCCCCAAGAATTCATGACTATTGTGAGTTGCTTGTTCAGATGCATTTGAAAACAACCGGCTATTGCTAAGACAAAATAATTTGTACATATTTCTTTTAAGTGATATTCCAAAGCATTTGCTTTTCACAGAAGCATTTCCGAGCCTTCCTTAGTTACTCCAAAGAGGGCTTGATAGATTGCAATGGATGGATTTAGCTGACTCCAAGGCCAAATGACATATTTTGTTTAATGATTAATACATAGTGTATTGATTGCGCCTCCTCTGCTTTTGTTCATTACAGCCAGCAGGGGACAAAGGCAGAATCTGGAACTTTTTTCTCTTCTCCTCAGCACCATTGTAACTAAAATCCCCTGTAGCACATCTAGATTTAGAATAGAAGTCTCAGTCTGCCGAGCCTTTCTTTATTCTTGCAGAATGAAATCATTCAATATTGGAGATACCCCAGTGAAGAGCATGAGATTTTGACAGAGGATGGCTACTACTTGCAAGCAAACAGAATTCCTTATGGAATGCACAGTTCTGGGAAGAGAGGTAATTCTGGAATGTAACTGGTTGGTGTTTTTTTTAAGGAAGTGTACTGAAAGGATTCAGCATAGCCTAGAGGTTCTTAAGCTTAAGTTCTTAATTGTTGCAGAAAATAAGTCACATCCAACTGCGTGTGTTTACTTACCTATATTTTATACATCAGCACAGCAGCTTGTAACATTCTGAATGCTGATAAAAAATTGTCGGGGATAATTTGAACTAAAATCTGAACTGAACATGAAACAGTTCATTTTGTAAGTGGACAAATGTGAACTGGAATTAGTTCCTTTTTGGTCATGTTCAACTTGATCTAGAATTAGTTCCTTTTCTAACAGCCCTTTGCAAGCTATGGAATATTTCTTGAAAAGCAAAGGAATGACTTGTCTACACAGGCATTACTGTGAGTTCTTGATCTGAGTGTCCTATTTTACTTGCTGCATTATTTTAATGAATTGTTTTGCTGGATATTTTAATGATGGATGCTTATATGTGTATTGGGTTTTTGCATTTTGTAAACTACTTAGAGATCTATTAAGCAGTATATGTCTTATTATATTAAGTGGCTAACAACAACTCCTACTGAGAACAATATTATCTAATGCCCACTTTGTTTCTGTTCCCCTCCCACCAGGTCCTAGGCCAGTTGTTTTACTGGTACATGGTGTTTTGGGTGAAGGTAGGACCTGGATTATAAATCCTCCCAAGAATAGCCTGGGATTTGCTCTAGCAGATGCTGGCTATGATGTTTGGATAATAAATACTAGAGGGAACAGCTGGTCTAGAAGACACAAGACTCTGTCAATTGACCAAGAAGCATTTTGGAATTTCAGGTATAAAGGCACAACTTGTAGCTTGGATAGTTGAGACAATTGTAATAATTACTGTCTCTGAATTATAACTGATACCAACTTTTTTCCTTTTGTTGTGTCAGAAGTGCTTCAGTCCTGGAAAGACTTCCAAAAAATGGGAAATGGTGGACTATGGTTCCCTTTCTTGTTATTTTTAGAGCCTACATCAACATGACAAAATGCATGACTTTCTCTATATTCATGCAGGCTGAATTTGTGGAGCTCTGAGATATAGATAAGGATCATAACTAGGACTGTGCATTCACTCTGGATGAATCCTAGATCCTGAACTGAATCAGGCCAATCTGGGATTTGCTGGGAATGTGTAGATGAAGCTCTAGATTGCCTGGGTCTGGGTTCACCTGGAGCAATACAAATATGTCAATGGGGCAGCGGTGGGTGGACAGCCACACGTTTAACTCACTTAATATTCTTTTAAAGGCACAATCCCATTTAGGAATGGGAGATCACAGCCCAAATAATCCCAATTCACCTCATTATTTGGGGCAGAGTCCATACACACCTCTAATAGGGTACTCTACTAATGCAACAATAGGCTAAGGGGAGAAAACTTCACCTGCATTTTGTTTCTGTAATGTTCTATAGCTTCCATGAAATTGCAATATATGATATTCCAGCAACAATAAATTTTATCCTGCGGAAAACTAAGCAAGAAGGATTGTATTTTATCGGCTACTCTCAGGGTGGGACACTTGGTAAGTAATATGAAATGAATGGAATCCATTTACTGCCTGAGCCCTTAATTTTAAAACCTTCTTACAATCCCAATCTTGCTAGAAATTGAACAAGCAGGGTTTACATCTGGACGTTCCACCATAGATCACTGCTTAGTGTTAGATTATTTTGTCTATAAGTATGTGAAACATTGGAAAACGTCATTGTATGCGGCCTTTGTGGACCTAAAGGCAGCATTCGATTCTGTATCCAGGGGTAGGCTCTGGGCCAAATTGGCCAATATGGGTATTAACAGAAGGTTATTACTTCTGATGATTAAGCTTCATGAGAACAATACCCTCCAGATAAGACTCGCACAGGACGGCAGACTCTCTAGAGAAATCCCTGTCCAAAGAGGAGTTAGACAAGGATGCCTATTGGCCCCATTTTTATTTAACATCTATGTTAACTCCCTGGTCACATGTTGCCGTGAAATCGAAACCCAACCCCCCGTGTTCTCTAACGGCAGAAAAGTACCTGTTCTAATGTATGCGGATGACGCTGTTCTTCTCTCTCAAACCAAAGTGGGTCTGAAACGTGCCTTAGGAAAGTTTAGTGACCAATGTAACACTGAACTGTTAACAATTAATTTTGCCAAAACCAAAATTGTACATTTTAACCGCTCCTTCAGGAAAGATAATTGGAGCGTAAAGGGAAACGCCATTGAACAGACTAAGACCTTCCAATACTTAGGCATTACTTTCTCTTATAATGCCAAATTGTCAACACACCTGACCACATCAGCTATATCAGCAGAAAGAAGTGCAAATGCCATCCTTAGATTATTCAGAAGGAAAGGAGCTGGCTTCCTCCCGATGGCCCTAAAAGTTTTTCAGGCAAAATCTTTAGCCCAACTCCTGTATGGCTCTCAAATTAGCCCCTCTGCCAACCTTAAGACCCTTGAAACAGTACAATCAAAATTCTTAAGATCATTATTTGCTACCCCAAAGTGTACACCTAATGCAGTCTTAAGGCAAGAGGCAGGACTGCCCAGAGTGGAATTAAAAGTCTGGGAGCAAGCAATATCCCTCTGGCTGAAAATCCATTACAATCCTAAGGGACTGTTACCTTGCTTCCTGGCCGCAGTTCCCTACCCTCCTTGGCTTATGCAAATAACTAACAAGATCAAACAAATTGGCTTAAACCCTGAAAATCTTTTTATTGGAACTCTGAACAAGGCAAAAGCAATTATCACTCAGAGACTTTACGATGTCGAATTACAACAAGAAGTCGCCCTACTCCCGGAGGCGTATAGATGTTTAAAAGCTTGGCCTAACTTTGCAGCTGCCCCTTACCTAACTAACATCACTAACGAAGCTTATAGATGGGCTTTCTCTAGAGCCCGTTTTGAGACAATGCCCTCAGCAGTGCTGTACGGCAAATTCACGCGGGTACCAATGCATGCGCGTCTCTGCCCCTGTATGTCTAATAAGGTAGAATCCGTCACACACATCCTTCTATTTTGCGAATTTTATAGTGAAGAACGAGTTCAACTTATCTTGCCGCTTTTATCAAAATTTATACCCCTACAACACTATTTGGAATCCTCTCCCGAATTCCTACGAAAATACCTTCTGGAAGATTCCTCAAGCTCAATATCATATGAGGTGGCCAAATTTTGCACTTTAGTAATCAGGAAGCGTAAATCTCTTCTGTTGAATGGCACATTGCGAAGTTCCCTTGTGTAATCCTTTTTCCCCCCCCTGATGTTGTTGTTGATCTCTTTTTGTTTGATCTTGTGATGTTTAGTGTCACTGGCTTTTGCCGCAATAAAACTTGAACTTGAACAATCCCAAATTCGCATCACAGGTATAGTTCCAATCTAATAATTCAGATTGAAGGAACAACAAGCAGGGACAGGAATGCTGTTTTTGGTATTGGTTTTGAGGCCTCTGCAAACTGGTTGCAGACAAGCATATGGGAACATAGAGAGCTGTAGTATCAAGTCAGACCGTTGGTTCCTGTAGCTCAACATTGTCAACACTGACTGGCATCAGCTTTCCTGGGTCTTTCCCAGCTCTACCTTGAGACACCTGGGTTGAACACATATGAATGTGCTCTTCCACTAGGATAAGACCATTCCCCAGTATGAGAGACCCAAAGACTGAGTGTGCATATTGACTCTGGTTTATCTGGAATAGCTGCTGAATTCTGGAATCTTTTCTCTTTGGCAGGTTTAATTGCCTTATCACTCAGGCCACAGCTTGCTCAGAAAGTCAAGCTCTTCATGACTTTGGCTCCTATCTACACATTTGTGGGCACCAGTGGACCTGCAGTGCTAATTCTCAATCTTCCTGATGGATTAATGAAAGTAGGTATTTCTCATAGGTTTTTGTAGTGTCTTCATAGGCGCCAAACCCATGGGACCCTGGGGTCCTCACTGCCACCCACTGCCTCTGAGACCACCTCTGCCCGCTGTGGTGGTTAGCCACCTCTGAGTGCTGCCTGCCTTGGCCTGCAGCAGTGGGATGGCATGAAGCAGTCCGACAGAGTTGTAGCAGGCACCACAGGGCTCCTGGGAGGCCCATGCACTCTCTCAAAGGCCCCACAGGGCCTGCTGCAGTTGTGACTGGCTCCATTGTCCCACCTACTGCCTTTCCTCTGGAGTTCAGGCCTGGTACATTCGTGGGTGAAGTGCGGAGCCAACAAGATGTGGCACATGAAGACTGTGGAAGCGGCCGTATTGGGTGGTGCCCAGAGGGGGCTGGGGTGATGCATGGAGACAGGGGGCAGAGGCATCATTAGTGTAGTGCGTGCCGAAGTTGGGCACTCCCGAGTATGTTAATGCAGTCTTCTAGCATAATCAATTTGGTGATATGGGGAGTTCAACCCTCAACCTTATACATTGTGTGTGTGGGGGTGTCATCCTATACCTGGTTTAATTAAGAGGATTTAATTTCTAAATGCTTGGAAATTAATTCTGAAGAGAATCACCGAGATCTCTCTGTGTGTTTAATTACAGCTGATATGGGGGAAGAAAGAATTTGTCTTTTTAAGTAACAAATTGAAAACACTGATGGCCAAGTTTTGTAGCTATCCAGTAATGGACGAGATTTGCATCCAATTTATGTTCCTTGGCTCCGGACGCAATCCAAATAACTTAAACGTGGTATGTTGACTCTTTATTTTTGCTAAACATATTGGCAAAATACCATACTCCAGTCCCCACAACAGCAATATATTTTATTGTAATATTTAAAGATAAATTAACCATGCTTTGGATTGCATATTGAGTAACTAACATGATGGAGTTCAATAGTACATGCTTCAAGTTATGCATGTATAGCATTGGAGACCTAAATGTGTAACTGAGTGACCATGTCTGTACATGTTTAAGCCAGAATGGAGAAGAATCTTTGTGGAAGAGACCCTGATATATTACAGAAGGGATAAACTATATGGCTTTTGTTGTTTTCTTTATCTGTTGATATCTCATGAGGTAGAGAACTGGTGGCCCTTCAGATGGTGTCAGATTCCAACTCCCATTCATCTCAGTTTGCCTGTCGAAGGGTCAGGGATGAGGGCAGTTAAGAGCCTAAGAAGAACCTGCTGGATCAGGTCAATGGTCCAGCTAGTCCAGTGCCCTGTTCTCACAGTAGCCAGTCAGATGGCTAAACCCTCAAGCAGGACCTGAGCTCAAGAGCAACTTGTGTTCAGAAGCTTTATTGCCTCTGTCCATGGAGGCAGAACATGGTTGCAAGTTGCTCTTGTAGTCTAGAGTCAGGGAATGGTCTGAAGACGAGGACTGTGGGATGCATTCTATGGCAGACCAGCTTTTCTCTGATGGAGAGCTGGAGGGGGAAGAGTCACTCCCCTTGTCCACATGTTCAGAAGCAGAGACAGAGAGACAGGAGCTAAACAGCTTAGGGAGGAGTTACCCAGTTGTGAAATAATGACAAGGGAACCAGAATGAAGGGGACAGCTAGTCAAGACGTCAATTGAGAGTGTGGGGGGACCCCCCCCCATGGACTCGGAGGTCTGAACGTATCAGAGAGCAAAGGAGGCAGAGAGGGGGAGGAACTTCCCATTGGTGCCTTGAATGCTGTGGAAGTTGGAAGGAGGATTCAGAGTAGTCAACTGCCCGCCTTGCGGAGAGCTATATATTTGTGCTTGTAACATGATGTTGTAATCAAAGGACTATAAACCTATCAACTGCTCAACAATTCTTATCTGTGAAGTTCCCGAAGGGAGGGGAGGACATTCTGTGCCTGACATCCAGCAGTGTTTGGAGCTGTACAAAGCAGCCACTCCCTATACATCAGAACACAGTGATCTTGTAGCTTTAATTGTAACAGATGAAAAATAGGACATTACAACTTAACTTGTTATTTATTTGTAATCTTTATAGCCCATCTTTTAATTTCAAGAAATTCACAAATGGGTCTCAAGCAACAACAAAAAACAATGTCTGAACTATGTGACCCATAGATAGCAGCAAAATAACAAGATTGTACAATGGTGATGGGATAAAATCAGACATCAACAGACAGGGTAAGGGTTGGCATGGCATTGGATCCCAGGATATTCCACAAGCCCCATGTTGATAGAATGGATCTGCTGTGTTTGGACTGCCCCAAACCTGTTACATGAGAGTCAGCCAGTGTGGTTCAGATTCTTCCTGAGGTGCAAGCTAGGCAAGTAAGGTCTCTCTGGGCGACCAGGCTGCAGATTCCTACTGGGCAGATACCCCAACACTAAGCTTGTGGGTGCCATGATCAATCATCACCTCAGGTCCCTTATACTGTGTTGATTCTGCCCAGTGGCATTCATGCCCTCATACAAACAACATTCTTCACCTAACAAAGGAAGGCCATAATTTCACAGAGGTAAAGCAAGTGCCAATCAGGTTGCGTTATTTAAAATTATTTCCTTGCCCTGTCAACTAGTGACCCAAATTGCTCAGTGAATGCTCTAACCCCAGTGTGGGCGAGTGGGAAGCTTTCATGGCAAATTGGCCTTGAGTATCATAGGCAGCAGCCTTATATAGGCTTTCCACTCTTCTTTGCAAGGGATCATGGGACAGTTTTTCCCCATGAGCCCACTACACAAACAAGATACTGAGCAAAGTTTTTCCACAATCTGTGGGCCACAGCGCTGCTGGGCAAAGGTGTCCTGCGCTTATTGACCACGGAATCATGCTTAAAATAGTGTGTGTGTGTGTGTGTGTGTGTGTGTGTGTGTGTGTGTGTGTATATATATATATATATATATATATATATATATGTATATTAGTGTGTATATATATAAATGCAATTTGGCATGAAACTCACGACCACATCTTTCCTGAGATGTATGTTTTCCTATGCAATATCCCTTTAAATTTCTCAAGGTATTTGGATATTGTATTGCTCTAATGCTTGTGATCTTTTTGCTAGTTCAATTCATCCATTCCTCCCTCTGAATGATAGGAGACAATTCTTAAAAACATTTCCATACTTATTTCCCCCCACAGACCCGAATAGATGCGTATTTTGGAATTATTCCTGATTATGGTTCTGTAAAAAACATGATCCACTTGGCCCAGGTGAGCTTTAATGCATATTTTTCCTTATTTCAAAATTTAGAGGCCATTTAATGTTCAAGTGAATGTTTAACGTGTGTGAATATTTAAGGGTTTTCTTTTTTAAATTTTCAGAAGGTGACAGGAAATGAAAAACAATATAGCAATAAATGGTATATGACAAGCTGCCACTCACAGGATCTTTGTCGCTCTGAGTTACTGCTGGTGTAGTTGCCCGGTTACATGCAATATGCGTCTACAGGTGTAGAAACTGACAATCCTAATAAGCCAATGAAACCAAAAGAAAATATTCTTAAATAGGGTCATGCAAAAGAAGAAATAAAGAGCAACTTTTCAATTTCGTTGCCTAAAGAGTAGTTCTTAAACTTTAAACATCAAGTGATTTTTTATTCATTATATCTGAAGTGATAGTTAAGTTTTAATTTGCACATTGCAGTTTCTCATTAGCTTACACAGTTTGGCCATTACTAGGATAGCGAACATTAAGGATTGATTTTTGAAATGATTGTATAAGGGTTCCAATATCATTTACTTATTAAGTTGCAAAGTATGCAAAATATTGCTAAAAACAGATTGTATTTGAAAAAAAACAGATTATTAAAACTATCTATTTAAAGAAAAGTTTTCACAATTTTTGCAGGGATTAGGGACAGGGTTCTTTCTGTATGTTATAAAGATGCCTGCATTAAAAATTTGAAAATTCTGTACTTTCCCCTTTATTTTATAGGTTTTTAAATCAAGAGAACTGAAATATTTTGACTATGGCAGTAAGAACAAAGCTATATACAATACGGTAAAGAGTTAAAGAAAAGTAAAGTTTCAGGAGTAAACCAGGCACAAATTCAGAGACAGTTGGGTGGGGCCTTGTATGCCTCCTTCCAGCACCTTCTGCAGCCAAGCTGGTGCCAAATGCATTGCTCTACTTCCTTTGGACCACATCAGTGCAGCCGAGATGGTGGTCTTATTGTCTGGGCAGCCCAGGACCCCCATACCCACTGCCCAGGCCTGCGCCTCAAGGAGGTCACTTTGGTGCTGGTAATGCAGTGGTTGGACTTCACCCCTGGAAACGCACTCCATTCTCTCCCAAGACAGATGGATACCAACACTGTAAACCTAGATCCCATCCCTTTCCTGGTAAACCCTTGATGCTTCCCACTATTCCTTGTGCAGCCATGCCTGGACCACATGGCTGAGGTCCCAGATTCCACAGCCCAAATGATCACTTAAAGAGCACCAGATAGCGCTGGCAGTGGCGAACCAACTGGACTCCAGCACCTTGGCCAGCATGTAGTATTCCAACGAAGCTGATGACCCACAGCATTTTCCCTTGCTTATTAAATTTATAAGATTTTATAGTCAGGGGTGACCACCCTGGCATTTATGTGGTTAGAGATTTTCTTTTCTTTTCTTTTACTTTGAAATCATATTATCCTTTTCTTACATCAGAATGTTGCTTATTCCCAAGGAGATGTGTTTAACCTCAGAGCAGCAGAAGCAAACTCAGTTTTATTCCTATAGTCATGGTGGTGCTATGTTTGAAATGCTTTAAATATATAAAGCTGCACATGTTCAGCATGTGTGTGTTTGTGTATGTATATATATAGCTTCAAAACAGTTATCTTGTTTGTAGAAGCAGCTGTGAAGCCATGCAATGGCAGTAGGAAAGAAATATTCTGAGAACATCAAAACTGAAGTCATATGGGCAGCTTTCTAAAGCCTGCTCACTGCTACCTGAAAGTTGATTAAGTCCAGAGCCTAAATGTGCCAAGCTGAACTATTGCTCACTTTAGCAGACATGCACATTAATCCTGATATAGATCCTCAATGTCATTGTACATCCCACAATGTTGGTATATCCGATGTTCAATCCAGTCAAGCAGGTTTCCTACACATAAATCAAGAATGCACAGTAAACAATTAATACGTGACAGATTCATTAATACAATGGAGAAGAAAATCTGATACTAATGCTCAAGGAAGCATTTTCCAGAAACATAGGTCACACATCCCAGAGTTTTGATGGTCCTGCATATGAACCATCAGACGGCTAAGAAAACAGGTAAAATCTAAGATTGGCAGATGAAGACCGTTTTAATCATTCTGATATTTTCATCCACAGACCACTCCTCCATTCTATCAAATCGAAGACATGGTTGTGCCAACTGCTGTGTGGGATGGTGGACATGATATTGTAATAAACAGAAAGGACATCCAGCTGTTGCTTCCTCGAATCTCTAATTTAGTTTTCCATAAGAATATTCCTGAATGGCAGCATGGCGATTTTTTATGGGGTCTGGATCCTCCAAAGAAACTATACCCTGATATATTCTATCTTATGCAGAAGTACAAATAAAATGTTATGAAAGTCACTAACTGCTTATATTCCCTGTGATTGTAGACACTGCATTGGGTCTGTATGACTTGATTTTATGGTCAATTTGTTAACTGATTCTTGTTTCTATTACCTATTGCTCGTCATCTAATAAAATCTACCTTTTGGCATTGATACAATTGGTAGTGGAATTCATTGGCCTTGCACTGCAAAAGTATACTTCTCTCTGCAAAGGCCTCATCTTTTAGCCACAGCATAGATGTTTCTTGTTGTTCCTTGTAGATCAGGGGTTCTTAACCTTTGAGCACAGTGCTCATAGGCCCTTTATAGAATCTGATGGAAGCAGTGGAGCCCCTTTGCAGAATTCTTTTCACAAAGACAACTTTCTAAGGCATGAGAAGGAAATAAAGAGAGGGAGAATAATTTTTGGTGCCTGGTTCATGGGGCCCCTAAAGTTCACGCATAGAAGCCTAGGGGACCATAGCCTAGGGGTCCATGGTCACACCCCCTGCTGTGAATCATTGTCCTGACAAGGAGTTAATGAGGCTAGGGGTGGGAGATGGCACAAAATTCCTCCAGCAACTCTGTGATTACATCCAAAAACATATTGTGTACCCTTGGATGCAGTTCATCAGGCCCTGGAGATTTGAATTTATTTCAAGTAGCTATGTTATTGTCCATGGAGAGTCACGAAGAGTCGGACACAACTAAACAACTAAACAACAACAAAGTAGCTAGCTGTTCCCTTACTACCTCTTTACCAATCTTGGGCCGTAGCTCCCTCTTTACATCATTTATTCTGTTATGACCAGGTGGCCATGCAGGAGTTCTGTGTGGAAGGGGATTGTACAAAAGGTGGGGATGTAGGACCGGTGTGTGTAGGTGAAAATGGGTGCAGAATAGCTTAGAAGCTATTCTGAGCTTAGAAGTTGGACAGGGTGCCAAAAAGAAGCACTAGGAGGTTAATGTGAGGGCCCCTTAATTAGGCAAAATTGCATAGAAACATGTCGGGTCAAATTGACACTAAATCACTGAAGAATGTTCAGGAGCATTTTTTTTTAAAGCAAACAAATGTGAAGAACTGAAACTGAGACTTTTAAAAATGAGAAAATGAAAACAATCTATCCCCTTGGCAAGGACTCTCTCTACCTGTGGTCTGTGAGCTTTATTTAGGTGGTCTGCAGCAGACTAGAACACTTTATCAATTGATTTCTACAGAATTCTATGGCATGCAACTGTAATACATGAAAATGCAATATAAGGAATAAACGAAGCCATCAAACTATCACAGCACAGTACAATTGCAGTCAGAGGCAGGAAAAATATAATTAAAAAATGGTCCACAAGAAACCTCAACAATTTTCAAGCAGCCCATCCATGGTTGGTAATTTTGAGGAACCACTGTGCTGGGGTTTATGCAGATTTTGAGAGGCTTTACATTTCTGGTACCAAAGCTGGGGAGGATAAACTCTCTATGGTCTTTGTACGAATACCTCCCTCTCCCCCTGCATTTCATAGAAAATAAGTTTTAAGTTTGAGAGGTCCATTTGCCCTCCTAGGCAGGCGGTTTTGCAGATGGGCTCTGAGCCGCTCTAGGTAACCAGTGAATGGCAGGCCAGATCATCTGCCTGCCACATATTGGCTTATGGCGGCAGGAGGTCTCAGGCATTCCCTTGGGCAGGGGACCAACTGACCAATAGGGGAACTTGGCCCTGTGTCCAGGGACAGGATAAATTGCCTCTTCCTTTTGACTTTAGGTTCAACATGAAAAAATCCCCCCAGATAGCCAGGATTTCCTGGGTGTATGGCAGCCCTATTAATCACTGAAAACCACATTCTCAGTTAAAACCACATTTTAAAAGGTTGATATACAATTTATATACCAATTAATATAAAAATAAACCTCTAAGTGGGTTACTTTAAAACAACAACAAGGAAAAAGGAGAAACGACAATATACATTATAATGTTTTGTACAGACTTATCATTAGGCAAATGTTGGGTGTGTGATGATGCTTTCTTTCTCAACTGTTTTCATAGTTTCCAGAAGCTCCTGGCTGGTTGCCCAGGAAAGTATAACGATAAGGAAATGGATAATGGTGTTGTCCTCAGTTAATCTGCACCCCCCTTCTCTCCCACTTCCTCATTCGCCATCATCATCACCTGCTGTACGGGGGCTGCTAAGTGCACTATGTCTTTGAGTTCTTTCTCTCCTACTTTTAAGGTTCAATGGGTTCTGGAAAATGGAAGGTCTGGAATGTTTTCTAATAACAGGTCAGCAAGGTGTTGCTCCTCCTCTCCCATTATTTCCCAACTTTCCCCCTCACCTACCTCTGTGCTGCTACCTCCCTCAAACCCCTGTTGTAAATCAATACTGTCTTCTACTTCCTCATCCCTGGAAAGGTCAGGAGACGGAGGCGGTCTCCACCACTCCTCTGCTCACTCCCTGACACAAAGGTCTTCTGCTGTGTCTATTTGAGATCTGGTCGCTACTGATGCACAGCAACAGGTAAGCAAAATTACTTTCTTCCATGTCTCTTTTTAATTTATTTTTCAGTGACATAGCTTTCGTCTTGCATTTTAATAGCTTGCATTCTTAAGTTGTTCCTTTAACAGTGTTATACACTGCTGAAGTACAATCAATAATTTTTTAGCAGACTTGCATCCCATTGTAAATAATGGTCTGTTCCACAAATTACCAAAGCAAACATGTTAGCTAAATTTAATGGATTGAGTTTATTGGATTGAGTCATGAGGTGTTGCAGACCCCATTTCCCAGTATCCCAGTCAGCAACAGCACCTTCTGAGCCAGTGGTCCTGGGAAGAGGAATTCCCAGCACCTCCAGACTCAATATTTTAAACTGGGAGACAACTCTATTTCCCAGCTAGAATTGGTGTCTGAAGGGTGCAGTAAGACTTTTAAAAAGTACTGGGGTTAGGAGGGAATGTTGTTTGGTGTCATGACTCACTTGGCACTGTTGGGTCTAGCTCTAGCATGGCAGATACTGGAGGAAGATGAGAAGGAATGGAAGTGGTAGGCTGGCCCCACCTCAACCCCACCTGGCTCTGTGTGGAGATAGGACTTCCAGCTCCGTTCCTTCCAGAGGGAGAGAGAGTATTGTCAGAACCTGGAGAGGCAAAGCAGGCTGAGTAGGGAGGAGGTGGGTACAGCACTCTCTCCTAGAACACCAGGAGAAGGGACAATTTATGCCTGCTTAAACACAGCATATGCCTGCAGGTTCATCCAGGAACAGAGACTCTCATGAGTAAGGGCTGCACTCATGATGGCTTTTAGCTGGATGAGTGGGCATGGAGAAGTGGTTGAAACAACTACTCAGCAGTCTTGAGCTTAATGAATGGACCCAGGCGCCTTGGCCACTCTTCATAGATCAGACCCATCCCAGTCAACCCTTTGTCCTGTGGGACTCTGAGACTGTAATAGCTCTTTACCTTGTGCTGAATCTGTACCATTTCCTTACTTACAAGAAAGAGAATCTGAGGACATGTTTTGGGATGGGAGCCAGGGCATTTGGGCTCGGCTTGAAGGATCAAAATCCCCTGGGAAGCAATTGGAGCATATTGAGCAGCAACAGCCAGTGTTGTTCTAGGGTAATGGCACAGGTTCTCCTCCCTGCTGCTAGTAGAAGAAGAACACTGCTGGATCAGGCCAAAGGTTCATCTAGCCCTTTTATCTCACCTTTCAACACCCATCATGTCTCCTCAAGATATTTCTTCAATGTATTGAGTTTCCCCCCTGAAATCTTTTTCATTAAGGACTCATGTTTTCAGACTAGAGATCCTGTAGTTCTGTTTCATACACAGGTCCAAGATGTGGCTGTTTTGGGGAGTGGCCTGCTTAGTCCAACAGGCTCTGACATCTGAAGAATTCAGCAGTAGAAGACATCTGAATCCTCAAGAATTTATGACTATTGTAAGTTAATAATTCAGATGGCCTTGAAAACATTGGACCAGGATCCTTGTAATTTCCTTTTAAAACAGTTTTCAAGAGCACATGCATTTCCAGGAAGAAACTCCACGCTTGGCAGGAGTTATTTCAAACTGCAAATTACCCTGATCGTGTTTGAAACAATACTCTCTTGGCCAGATTAACTGATCTAGAAGACACAGTTAGCTTTGATAACTCCTTCTCGGAGCAGAGTTTTAGGAGCCTGGCTCCTCAGTGTAAATATTGACATTTGCTACACAAGCATTAGCTGAAGCCTTAGGCAGCAGAATCATTATATTTCTCATGGTGAGACATTTATTTGCAGTTGCTTACCATACAGACTTGGTGTTTTGCATCAGATCAGTATAGATTTCCTTTTTGTCTTTTTGTTGTGGAATGCAGAAAACCACAATCAATCTGTGGTTATGTACACTTCACACATATATACCCAGATGGGGGAAAGGGGGAATAAATTTGATTCAGTTCGCATTTCAAGCTGAATCTACACGATTTGCGTTTTCTGGAACAATACACAAACTGGAACAAAGCCATCCTTCAAAATTGGCACGTCTCCAATTTTTGCATACTCTTCTCCAGCCAAGTAATGGAAATAGAAATGCATATACCAGAGTAAAGTGTTTTTAAAAATGCATATACAAATGAAAATAGAATACCAAAAAAATCATTTTATTAGGCAAAAAAAGGGTGTGTTTTGGGCAAACTTGCATACAATCATGTGTACATTATGAGAGTTTAGGGGAGGGATGGGGTGTTGTTGGACTACAACTCCCATAATCCTTGACCCTTGGCCATGCTGGCTGGGACTGATAGGAGCTGGAGCCCAGCTATAGCCACAGATTTCCCATTCCTGGTGTAGGGCTAGCAAAGTCACTTCACAATAATCTTGGCCCTCGGAAGTTTTTGTTCTTTGAGATATTAAAGCAATTGTCCCAGAAATCAAATGATCAGATTTATTTATTTTTTAATCTAGCATTTCTATTTCCATCCTTCTCCACTCACAGCCTGAAGTTATCCAGTATTGGGGATACCCCAGTGAAGAGTATACAATCCTGACAAGGGATGGCTATTACCTGCAGGCAAACAGAATTCCACATGGAAGACATAGTTCTGGAAAGACAGGTAATTTTGAAATTTAGCAGTAAATGCATTAAAATGCCACATGCCATGCCTGATATCCCTATGTTCAACTTTAAAAATGTTACCCAGACTTCACTATTTCCCCCCCTTTCATTCAACTTTATTTGGAAGCAATATTATAAATAAAGGGAGAAATTGTTGCAAGTTGGCTGAAATCACTTGAGTTGTGCTCAGTTGTAAACACACTTGATGATTCCTTGTTCATTATATCTGAGCAACAAGGTTTCCCAGATTAATCAATAATTCCAAATTATCAACAGTTAGAATAATTGTCCAGTCTTCTATTCATAGCAGAACACTATGAAATATCTTAAGTGGCGTGGAGTTTGGTTGAGTGGCTTTTTTTTTTTTGTCTTTTCAAAAATCAGTGCAAATATTAACTATCTCCTGATTCTTAGGAGAGTTGTTTAGAAACAGCCGCAGCAGTTGTGGCCCCTCTTCAGCGGCAGGCAGCAATCACCTCAGAGACACAGCGTTTCACCCACAGGAGAGGCAAGGTCCACCTACCTTCTCACCTCACCTACTTCTGCTACCTTTTGCCAATACTTCAGCACTTCATCTCTGGATTGCTTGGGAAAAGTAGGCGGGGACATGTTGGCAGAAGAGAAAGTGGGCAGGGAAAGAAGTGTCATGGCATTTTATGTAGGCTTACACAAAACATCGTTGCTATTCTTCACACAATCAATGAAAACATTTTCTGAGGTCCTAGGAAACGTCTGGCTCACCTCCTTTGTACCCCCTGCACCCTACTCTGCTTGGCCTTAGGCTAGATACCAGTGGGAAATGTTGGTGCTCTGTGAGTGCCCATTCTCTATCTAATGTTGTCTTTGTTTTCCAGGGCCTAAGTCAGTTGTGTTATTGGTACCTGGTAACCTTTGTGAAGGCAGGAGCTGGATTTCAAATCTTCCTAGCAATAGTCTGGGATTTGTTCTAGCAGATGCTGATTATGATGTCTGGATAATAAATAACAGGGGGACCACCTGGTCTAGAAGACATCAGCACTTCTCAGTAGACCAAGAAGAATTTTGGAATTTCAGGTAAGTACAAGGGGCTATTGTTGCTTGGATGGAAGGGATGCTTTTCCTGAGAACTTTCCCAAGACTCAGCTAGATTAGTAAAGAAAAAGCATTTTAGATGCACTGTATAGGCAATATAACACTATGAAACCAGATGGCACTGTGGAGTTCTGACTTTCCCAACTGGATTTCCCTATATGATTTTACAATGCGTTTAACTGAAAAGCTTCATAGATGTATTTATTTTTATCATCATCATCAATCTGTATTATGGTCAAGACCCAACAAATCATTACAATGCAATACACAATTCAGACAGCCTACCTCCAGGTTAAACAGGAGCATCTCCACCCTCATCGTTCTACCCGGATACTGAGGTCCAGCGCCCAGGGCCTTCTGACAGTTCCCTCACTACGAGAAGCCAAGTTACAGGGAACCAGGCGGAAGGCCCTCCCACCAGATGTCAAAGAGAACAACAACTACCAAACTTTTAGACGACATCTGAAGGCAGCCCTGTTTAGGGAAGCATTTAATGTTTGATGTGTTATTGTATTTTAATATTTGGTTGGAAGCCGCCCAGAGTGGCTGGGGAAGCCCAGCCAGATGGTCGGGGTATAAATAATAAATTATCATCATCATTATTATTACTATTATTCTTTTGTTCAGACTTAAGGATAGGGATCATTGGTTCTTGCAACCACCAATAAAAACTTTGCCACTGCTAATGTTCTAGCGTTTTTCCGGTCTTCCAGTAGGAACCTGACATAGTAAGCCTTTGATTTTCCCAGGAAAGGTACCAGCAAGGGTAATATCAGTTCATCCACCCAGAGCAGAATTTTAATTTAATTTTGGGGAATTTAAGCATGGCACCACACTCCACATAATATCAGAGGGTAGTGACCCCCCAAAAGGCATTTCCTGCTCTTGCCCCTGCACTGTGGAATGCCCTTCCGTCTTCCATATGTAAAGCATCATCAGTGTGATTCCGCACATCGTTCCTGATGTAGATCTTCATTCTTCACTTGGTTGTAATGAAGACATTTATTGCCACCTTGTCCCTGGTGTAGATCTTCACTCACTGCTTCCTCCCTGGAGGGAAGTGGTCCAATTTTGTGGTTCACCTCCAGTGCCAGAATATCTTAGGTCAGTCCTAATACAACTAGCATATAAGACCATGAACAATTTGGCATTTAGATTACCTGATAAAGGGTCCGCTCTTGTACAGATCTGTTAGTTCCTCCAGGCATATTGTGAAGACACACCATTTAGCCCAGACATTCCAGGATGTACACCTTTTAGACTGAGTAAAGGGACTTCTGAACTACCATTTAAATTTAACACAGTTGAGCGATTTCATATAATTTAATATAATTCTTTAAAATTATCCTTTAACATGTGGACAATGTACATATCTGAGAACCTATTGGGCAAGTTTAAGGGTGATATAAATATTTAAATAAATCATAAATATATATTTATTCTTTCTCTCCTTACTCTTTCCATAGGACAATAAACTTACAACGTTATCCTCCAAATGTAAGGGTATCATATGTAATGTATGGTACTGTTTGTATTTATACATTAATGTCCACAACTGTATGCAATTGCAGACAGGCAAAATTTCACCTATATTCTGTGTTTGTCTTTCAGCTTTCATGAAATGGCAATTTATGATATTCCAGCAGCCATAGACTTTATTCTGCAGAAAACTAAGCAAAAAAGCTTGTATTATATTGGCCATTCCCAGGGAGGTACAACGGGTAAGTTAATAAGAAAAGAATGAAATACCTTTTATTTTCTTGCCTTTTTGCATTATCAGGGACTTATTGGGGGTGTGGTCCAGTCTCAGGACTATTGGGAAGACTAGTTCAGAAAAGAAAAAGACAGATTAAAGCATAGCTTTTAAAAAAGAAAAGAAAAAGCAGAGTTCACATACGTTCCATGAGAAAGTCTTTTCAGGATCAGGACTTCAGTATACAGGATCAGGCAGCGTACACAGCTCTTATCAGTTCCACAGCCATGAAGAATGTCCATTTGTGGTGCAAATAAATTCGTTGAATGACAGGCATTTCAAAAGAAGAGAGATGGGAAACTTTTGCCCTTGCAGATATTTGAGACTCCAGCTCCCGTCAGCCCCAGCAAGCATGGCTGATGGGCTCCAGCTCCTGCAACACCTGGAGAGCCACAGCTTTTTTAAAAATCTCTTATTTGTTTGTTTGTTTGTTTGCAAGTGCTATGTTTAGAATTGTTTCTTTTTCCCAGGTTTTATTGCCTTTTCAACCATGCCACAGCTTGCTCAAAAGGTTAAACTCTTCATGGGCCTGGCTCCTGCCTACACACTGGACGGCATGAAAGGAGTCTTTTCCTTAATTCTACGCCTTCCTCAAGAATTGATAAGAGTAGGTATTATTCAAGGCCCATAATTCTAATATGTATTTTTCTTCTGCATCCTTATGGAGAGTTAATTTTCCTGCCATCCACTTCATTTCTTTATGTTGAGTGTGAGCTTGAAGAATTAGAAGGTTTGGATCACATGAACATTTGTAGTATGATAAGGTCAGAGTCACCGTGGACTTTAGAAACAATTTCATCAGACATATTATATTGAGAATCTGGAATATATATAAACATAAGTTATACGTGAATAGACCCTTATGGATCTCAACACTGGAAGTCTTTCAAAGAAAAGAGAAATGGTTAATGGAAATTCTTCTTCTTCTTTGGCGATTACTCGTAGCCAAGTAAGATTGTCTTCCAAGAACACGGTCTTAACAGTGAGTCCCTAAGTGACTGTGGAGGCCAATTCTGGATCCACACATCCTTCCACAATGCTTTTCGGTGGCTGCTCCCAGACAGGATGAAGACTCTGTCATAGTCAGGGATGCTAGAAAGGAATGATTGACATTCCAACCTGCATGCAACACAACCAGTACCATTTGAATTCTGCTGCTGTTCAGCTTGTGCCAAATACTCTGTTATTCATCTTACTGTCCACTATTGAGAATGCCCTTTTCCAGGACCCTACTCCCAAACTTTTAAGGAACTATCAAGAAGGCCCCATCTGCCAATCTTAACATCTGAGAGGTTGTGTGGGAAGAAGGTGGTTGTTCAAGTTGTTGGAGAGCACCCCCTTAGAAATCTCTCCTCAGCTATCCAGAGCCAGGCCACATCAGAACCTGGCAGCAAAATTGCCTAGAATGCCCAGGCATATCACCTTGAGTGTGCTTGAAGAAAAGTGGTATATAACTGTAACATAAAGGAGATCTGTTCCTAACAGGAACCTCAATGTTCCCTTCCAAGAAAGGACAATTATTTAGTAATGCTTCAGATTTTTTAAATTTTATTTTTACAGCTTATGTGTGGCAGTAATGAACTCTGCTTTTTCTATAACAAACTAAAAGCCAACAATGCCAAGTGGTGCAGCTATCCAGGGATTGACAAACTTTGTCTCCAAATCATGTCCTTATTCCAAGGACGCAATGAGAAAAACCTAAATGTGGTAGGTAGTTTTATTCTCTATCATTTATTCATTTATTTCTTTTTGAAAGAACTTGCTGTGTACATATACAAAACAGCAAAAGAAAATCGAACAAACAAAGTAGATTACGGTATATGCCATAATTTTGAATTCCTTTACACAGTTCTTCCATGGTGAAATTCTAGAGGCCTCTTTTAATAAATGTTGATCTATCTTTTAAAATTTATTTTCAAAATTAACTTCACGTCTAGTTGGTAGTTGTTCATTTACGCGTGGCCATAGAAGAGGAAATGCACAGCACTACAAAAAGGAAAGAAGTTGCAGAGTGACTAATTTTAACTGCTTATGCTAATTTCCAGATGCAAAGTTAGAAGGAATTACTACTGTAGGGCAGGCTGTGACCAGGTGACCTCTGTGCCTGCTCCAGGTGCTGTCCAGGTGCTCACTGTTGAGAGGCAACTTCAATGCCCCTGTTCTTCCTTCTTATGGCTCTTTATCAGCTGGATTCACTATGGGTGGGGGATACACATCTAGGTGCCCAGACACCTCTTCATCAGAAACCTGCTTCCTTGTGCTGCATGAAAGCATAAGCATTTTCTTTTCTATTATTCTTCCAGAGTCGAGCAGATGTGTATCTTGGAATTTACCCTGATTTTACTTCTACAAAAACTATTGCACACTGGAGTCAGGTACATTCTAACAAATACGTACCTTCTCAGCATCTCAAAAAAATAGGAGTCAAAAGTCTGACGTTTCGACTTGCCTGTTTAGTTTCTCATGTTTCTGTTTTGGTACTAAGGTTTCCATTTCATTTTATAAAAGTGTAGTTTTCCAGATTACCGGACCACTCAAAAGTTATATTCTAGATACTTCAATATTCTAAACATGAGCTGTAACAACTCTTTGGATCTCATGGGAAGAACACAGGAAGCTGCCCTTTACTGAATCTGCCCATTGCTCCTTTCAGTTCAGTATTGTCTCCTCTCACTGGGAGCAGCTGTCCAGGGTTGCAAACTGTAGTATGTCCCAGCCCTACCTGGAGTTGCCAGGAATTAAATCCAGAACCCTCTGAGTGCAAGGCAGAGACTATCACTGATCTATGGCTCTTCCTGAATATTTAATTTTGACATTATAATTCTTCCTTATGTTCTTTTGCCATTGCTTATTCTCCTTGCTGCTGAGTTCTACCAAGGAAACAATGAGACTAAGGAGTAGGAAGCTGACAGGCAAGCAGTGGGTGGAGGAGGGAAGATGGAGGTTGGTGGGGTACTGCCCCATTCACCCGAGTGCATTAGCATCCATTGGTGCTGGGAATCCTCACATTACGCCGAAGGTGAAACATATTGCAGTGGTCTTTCCAGCTGAAGATTAGTGAAGGCTGGGCAAAAGAAGAGGTCAATATTGTGGGCACAGGCACCAATTCTATGTGGTGAGAATAGCTCCTCCCTCCCAACATATGCCCGAATGGGGCTGAACCCCCTCAATCTTGAGGAGCCGGGCTCAGTTTTTTACTATTTTCTCAGAAATGAGGATGATAGATATGTTAATAACCTTCTACCTGACTTTCTAGAGACACCACTGTTTTAAGCAGAGCGTATGCTCCTATCATCAGCCAGGGTGGATGGTGGGAATTCTGATACTGTCAAACCTCGGTTCCTGAACAGCTCCATTTTGGAACGCCTTGGCTCCCAAATGCCAAAAACCTGGAAGTAAAAGTTCCCATTTTTGAATGCTTTTATGAAGCTGAACATCCAACGCGGCTTCTCTTTGAGTTCAACAACCAAAGTTTGACTGTAACCAAGAACTCTAGAGTTTGAATTTTCTTGTGGCCCTCCATCTTTCAAGAGGATTTTGTTTTTTGAACGTGCACCAAATTTCAAATTGTGTATAAGTCTTTTCCATCTTTTTAGGTTGAGAAAACCAACCAACTTAAGTATTTTGATTATGGATCAAAGAACAAAGCTTTCTACAACATGGTAAGTGTTTTGGATTCTAATGAGAGATTTTGGCGGTAGGTTAAATGTTTAATGTGAACCGTGTTGCGATTTCTGAGTTCTTATATAATTCCTTTGGGTGAGATAACACCAAAGACACCAAAGAACTGGTTGTAATTATGTGTTTATCTATGAAAGTGCATGCATTTAATGAATAAGGCATAGAAAATTTACTTATCCCAAGTCAGACTATTGTTCCACCTATCTGTCTATACTGATTGGCAGCAGCTCTGATTCTAAGCCCTACTAGAAAACCTGAGGGACATATGACCTTCTACACACAAACCAGATGCTCTACCAGTGAACTACCACTCCCCTCTAGATTTTGCCTTTGGGGATCCATTGAGAGCCTCCTTCCAGGCCAGATGGGCAGCGGGGCTTAGCTGAAACTAGTCTGCTGATATGTGACGAAGTGGCTGCCTCTGCTATGTTACTCCACCTTTCAGCTGTTGGGGGGGGGGGAGACTGAGCAACATCATCAAAGCCCTACTGCCCCTCAGGCTCACAAGGAGACCCTCCTTCTGTCCTGAAGAGCACGTCCTGCTCATGAGGACTCTTATTCCTTTTGCTATTCTTACTGCTCCAGAGTAAGGAGTTGGATACTTAATAGATAGTTAAAGAATGATTTTCAAGGGACAGATGTTAGACCTTCAATGTATCTGAAGATCCAAAAGATGTCTTTAAAAAGAGGAAAATATGCAGTAACAGCAGTGAGAATATTATTGGCCCAAAAATGGAAACAGGAACAACTGCCGACGCTCGAAGAATGGAGAATGAAACTGATGGAGTATGCTGAACTGGACAAACTAACAGGAAAGATCAGATATATACGAGATCAAAAGTTCATTGAAGACTGGGGAAAATTTTCATACTATCTGTAATGTGTATGTGATGAGCAAATAACGCTAGTGGGATTTCAAGAAGTTCTGTAAATGATAGAGGACTATTGTATTGATGAAAACTAAGTGTGTGAAGGTTTATAAAATGCAATATAAAATTAGGAAATGTGTATTTAAACATTTGAATAATGGATGATTGTCAGAGAGGTTGAAGGAAGTCTAAAAGAGAAAATATGTGATAAATTTAGACTGGATACTATAAATGTATGTTGGAAAATTTAATAAATAAAACTAATAAAAAAATTAAAAAGAGGAAAATAAATAAAAGTGAACCTAATTTTCATCTTTCTGTTCTTTTTCTCGACAGAGTACACCCCCATTTTATAAGATAGAAGACATTACTGTGCCAACAGCTGTGTGGAGTGGTGGGAATGACATTGTTGTAACCAAAAAGGCTATTGAACGGCTGCTCCCTCGAATCCCTCATTTAGTTTTCTATAAGAATATTCCTGAATGGCAACATTCAGATTTTATCTGGGGTCTTGATGCACCAGACCAGTTGTTTAAGGATGTGCTTTCTCTGATGCAAAAGTTCAAATAATGTTTTAATATGAGGGGAAACTATATATCTGATATTAATGCAGACACATTTTTTTAAAAAATTACATTTATTGTTTTCTGTACTTATGTTCTTCTTTTCTGTCGCAAATAATACTTATTATTATAATATATATTCATATTATATTGTGTAACCATGCATTATAGAATAAACTTGCTTCTGTTCTGCAATGAATCATGGAATTCCTTGCCAATATGAAGGGACCCCTAAAAGGCCAAATAATATGCAGCTTGAAATAACTTTTTGTATTCCAGCGGAAGGTACTCCAATTCTGACTAGCCCACCCAACCAGAGGTCAGTGAGGGAAATGTCACACATTGCTCAGGTTTGGCTATCAAGACCATGAGCCTCCATAGGGCGGCTGTCTCTTATTTTAGCAAATGTTTTCAACTGCTTGACCCCTGTAATACCTTCCACGTAAAAGAAGCTAATCGCTGGCTGGCATTGTGTACACCTGGCTTTGCCAGACACAAGGGAGCCTATTACTGTTGAGACTTTGCGGCTGATCTGCGGCAAGTTAGGCAGTGTTTGTTGGTTCAGTTTTGAGGTCCAGTTATTTGCAGTTTGTCTCAATACGTGGCTCTTGCTCCAACATGGAATGGGGGGGGCAGGGAGGCCTGCTGATAACCCTCCAACGCCACCATTAAGAAGCAGAGGTTCTCCATATAACCTCTGGTTGCGAACAGGATCCATTCCAGAGCTCTGGCCGCATCCTGAGGAATTAGCAACTGGAATTCTGCGCATGTGCGTGGCGCAGTTTAATGCTTCTACGCACGAGCGTGGTGTATAGAGTGCTTCTGCGCATGCGCGCACAGTGAAACTCGGAAAAATACTTCCGGATTTGCTGTGTTCACATCCTGAAATATGCACAACTAGAGGTGTGCATATCTAGAGGTACCACTGTAATTGGATCTTAATTGGACTAAAGTACAGGTGTGTGCAGGGACACGGGTGGCGCTGTGGGTAAAAGCCTCAGCGCCTAGGGCTTGCCGATCGAAAGGTCGGCGGTTCGAATCCCCGCGGCGGGGTGCACTCCCGTTGCTCGGTCCCAGCGCCTGCCAACCTAGCAGTTCGAAAGCACCCCTGGGTGCAAGTAGATAAATAGGGACCGCTTACTAGCGGGAAGGTAAACGGCGTTTCTGTGTGCGGCTCTGGCTCGCCAGATGCAGCTTGTCACACTGGCCACGTGACCCGGAAGTGTCTCCGGACAGCGCTGGCCCCCGGCCTCTTGACTGAGATGGGCGCACAACCCTAGAGTCTGTCAAGACTGGCCCGTACGGGCAGGGGTACCTTTACCTTTACCTTTACAGGCGTGTGCTAGAAGAGATGAGATCACAAACTGTGGAACAAAACCAACTAGGGCAGTGATGGTGAACCTTCTGGAGACCGGGTGCCCAAACTGCAACCCCAAACCCACTTATTTATTGCAAAGTGCCAACACAGCAATTTAACCTGTATATCTCATTTTTTTTCTGTGTGTTTCACGTTTCTTCTTTATGACTGCTGTTGTAATAAATAATCCTTCATAAACGTTATTGCATTACATTCTTCATTTAATTATCTTTCCACTGATATATAATTTTATGGTATAACTCAGTGCTTTTTTTCTTAAAAAATGTTTACGGGTACTCTCATTTTGACTCAAGAAAATCACCACCAGGGGTGTGTGTTACAATTCTTTTTTTTTTTTAATGATATTTATTACTTTTCAAACAATTTCAACACAACATTACACAAAAAAAGAAAGAAGAAAAAAGAAAAAAAGAAAAAAGAACAATAAAAATACAATACAAAAACACCACATACAAAGCAAAACAAAAACAAACACAGTTTAAAATCACCTCAAACGTTTTCAACATCCCATCTTTCATTCGCTTATTTCCATCGACTTCCTCACACCTCCCTTTTTGTATTCCAATTCTATTTATTATTTCAGCAATTCCTTTCCATCTTCCTCTGTTTTCTATCCTATAATTATCTTAACACATTTTTACCTTATTTTTTCCTTTAATTTTCTATTAATCTATTTATACTTAATTCCTTACAACATTTCTACTAAAGCCATATAACTTCATTCTAACATTCTTCTAACATTCATTAATTTTACCATATTTCTATAGATAGTCTTTAAACTTTTTCCAGTCTTCTTCCCCCGACTCTTCTCCCTGGTCTCGGATCTTGCCAGTCCTTTCCGCCAATTCCATATAGTCCATCAACTTCATCTGCCATTTATCTAGCATTTCAGTGCTTTCAAGAAGCAACCATTCTCTCAGCCAGCAAAAAGCAGATGGTTCACAACAAAGTTTAGGGGTCTGGCAGGGCAAGTCCACCTCCTTCTTTAGCATCCATCAATATCTTAAATTTTACTCGTGGCTTCCTGCCCTGCCAGGCAAATCTAGAGACATCCCTCTGCCACCTCCTGATACAATCCATCCCATCCAAAACTTTCCTCAGGTAATGCTCTGATCCTCAAATTCATCTGTTTCTCTTTAAGTTCAATCATAACAAATATTAGCTTATGTTCCTCAAGTTGTCCTTGTATGGAAGGGACTCTCTTTCTCTCCAATTGAATTGCTTCAAATTCAGCAGCAAGGGTTTCCTCCTTGGCTTCATCCGCAGTTTGCCGTATCAGAGTAGATTCCTGTATCAATTTCTGAATGGTTTCTGTATTGGTATTCACCTTTTGTCCCAGATTATTTAAACTTTCTGCCATCACATCTGTTTTCTTGTGAAGCTGTTCCAGCAAATTGTTTATTTTCACCAATACGGCCACTAAGGCCTCTTCTGTCGACATTCCATCTATTTTTTCCTTTCCTTTTGCCATAACACTTAAGAGACTCAAAGTCAATCCCAGAGTCTCACACTTCTTTATCTTGCAGCTGGAAAATTCCCCTAGTCCTGCCCCTATGGAGCGACCAATTTCAAAAGCTTCCACAAGGGGAAACAGTTTCCATTTGTATTAGTCAGTACTGTCCTCTTTTAGACAATGTTCCAATAATCCAAAGTTAGTTTTTAAGTTTTCAGATACTTTATCTCCTCTTTAAAAGCAACCAGAGTCAGTAGAAACAATGTATTCTCTCATTTCGCTACCTGTCAATGAACGTTCTAAATGCTGTCAATGGACATTCCAAAACGCCAGTCCTACTAGCAGCCCGTTTCCAGGGTCAGAGCGGCGGTATTTTAACTTTTTTTCACTCTCTCCTGAAGGCATACTCAGTCCATAACTTCCCCCCCCTCTTCTCCTGCCTCCAAGGGGGGTTTTATACTCTTTGCTGATGGAAATTTAGTCTTTTACAAAAGGCTTTCCAAGACTTCAGCTTGCAGTCTCCTTGCGTCAATCTATTTACAAATAGGGAAGGCGGACTTCCTGTTTTGAACCTCCCTGTTTCGATGCCAAATTAAATGTTTAAAATCCGATTTTCTCGTTTCAGCTCTACTCACGGGTAATTACTTTGAAGTCAAATTGTCCACAGGAAAAAGTCAGCGCTCTCCGGCAACAGCTATGCGGCTTCGCTCCGTGGAAGAAGCAGACGATTCGAAGCACCACGCCGCTCACCCCATGTCGCTCCAGGTCCCCGAAACCGGGTTCCCCCGCGAGTAGGGGAGGCACAAAAGGTGCCCGCCGAATCCCACGTTCACAGGCTTCTCCCGCCTGTGATTTTTATGGGTCTCCGCCTTCGCCGCGGCGGTGCAGACCCAATTTCCCACAGGGCAAGTTCCTCCCGATCAGAGGAACTCCGCCATTGCCGGAGGCACCAACCTGGAAGTCATGTGTTACGATTCTTTTCCCGTGTTGCAGTCATGGGATTGTTTTTATCACATGATGGTGTATGTTTTCATTCCACATTGTGGGAAGTGAAGGAGACAGGATGTTTGTATTACTGTGTTTCTGTGAGGTAGGACATTTGTCCTTTGTTCTTTCTCTTTGCTGTCTGATGTTGAAGAGGAAGGAGCTGAGTTACGATGCTCCAAGTGTGTATATGCAAATAAACATAGTTTAGCCAAATCCTGCACTACTGAGTCTGTACGCTGACTGCCTATACTCTGCTGATCCTGAAGTGTGCTGATGCCTCTGAGGTATCAGTCGCTGTGATGTTTGGGATGGAGAAAGATTTTGAATCTCCTGAACGACTCACCAGAAGGGAGAGAACATTGCCAGTCAGGTATGTGTCTCTGCCAGACTCCTACTCGTGTGTAGGACCTCCTGACCCGGGGGGGGGGATAAATACAGTTCAAATTGGGAAAAATAAATACAGTGGTACCTCAGGTTTCAAATAGCTTAGTTTTCAAACTACTTGGAACCAGAACACTTCAAACCCAGAAAGGAGTTTTCCGGTTTTGGAACTGTTTTTGGAAGCCGAATGTGCTCTGTTCTGAATATAACTTCTGTTTTGAGTGCCACACTTCTGTTTTCCTAGTGAGCACTGCCGCCCTCCAGTGCTGGGTCCTTCTGCCACAGCAACCACCCCCTCCTCCAGCTCTGGCAGCCCCAGAACTGAGTGAGGGAAGGCTGGTGGGGGGCAAGCGAGCAGGCAAGGGATGTTGCCCCCCCCAGCCTGCTCCTGCTTGCAGGCAAGTAAGAGCAGGATCGAGCTGCTCTGCTAGGCAGCGTTGCTGCTTGCCCGGGAACAGGAGCTGGATTGGGGCTGCTCAGCTGGGGAGGTGCAGGGTCTGTCACACTTTCCATTGAGGGGTTCGCGGCTGCACTCCCCTCAAGGAAGAAGTTTAAAGGAGCCCCCACCTCCATATCAGAGCCCCTGCACCACCTGAAGGCAGCCAGACTGAATAGTTGCTGGGGTTGGGGAAGGTGGAGGCAGCCCGGAAGCTGTGTCTAAGAGCCCCTGCACCACCTGAAGGCAGCCAGGCACTCCTCAACTGAGCTGCCCAATCCCCCTCCTACTTGCGTGCAAGCAGGAGTGGAAGCGGGGATCTCTTCCAGTGTGAGAGCCAGTGTGGTGTAGTGGTTAAGAGCGGTAGTCTTATAATCTGGGGAACCGGGTTCGCGTCTCCGCTCCTCCACATGCAGCTGCTGGGTGACCTTGGGCCAGTCACACTTCTGTGAAGTCTCTCAGCCCCACTCACCTCACAGAGTGTTTGTTGTATATGATACAATGGCCCTTGTAGTCTCTTCCAACTCTACGATTCTATGATTCTATGATTCTAAGTGTACCATAATTCCCATGCCTTCAGCATAAGTAACTAAACAATACATATGTGTACCCGCATGTGTGTGCATGGCTATATCCCTATGTATAGAAACAGCTTAAGAAATCAGTATCCTCTTGTAATATTACCACGTTGAGGCTGGAAGGGACCCTGGGTCATCTAGCCCAACCTCAAAAGGCACAGAAACCTGCATAATAAATTTGCAGCAAACTCACATAACCAACACTATACATACACACCTGCACACATGTAAGCACACACATGCACATACACCCATGTCCACCCATGTAAACACACCGCAAACGTAGTGATTGACTCTCTGTACTCTCCTAAAGA